GTGTTATTCAAATAAATGATGAAGATCGCGCTATATGCGTCTATCATGTGTTCCAATTAATTATCAGTACGTAAAAATTATCATCACGTAGTATATATTATACGTACGTATTTCGTATTTAAACGACTCGAGAAGTATCTCAAGACCGGTAATTCCTCGTTAGTTTAATGATTCGTGAAATTTATTATTGAATTAGAGGTCTGACTCGATTGATGTTATCATTAGCGGAACCGTAAAGAACGAATATGGTTAGTTGAGAGGCATATCTCGCTGTCTCAGAATAATATAAAAAAAAAAAAACTTTCAAAATATTATTATTATCGTACCGCATTTATATAATTGTATAAAAATTTAGGTTGTACTTGCAGCGGCGATATGCACTAAAGGCGGGAAAGGTATCCTATTGATTATCAAGAATCCTGCTCGAAACATTCTGAATATTCTTAACAAAAATCGCTTCATGATTTTATAGCTGTGATTTCTCGGCAGTTTCGAGAAATGCCACGTTCTAGAATCGAGGGTCTTCTGGCTTCATTCCCAAAATTGACTAGTTCCGGACACCAGCATACTACCATAGAGACTGAACATGTTCGATACGTTTATCAGCCCCTGGATGAACTATACATAGTTCTCATCACGAATCGCCAGTCCAACATCTTACAAGATATTGACACATTACATTTGTTTGCACGTGTTGTGTCAGATGTGTGCCGATCAACAGAAGAAAGAGAGATATTGAGGAATAGCTTCGAATTGCTAAGTGCTTTCGATGAGATCGTATCACTAGGTTATCGTGAAAATGTTAATTTGGCACAAGTCAAAAGTATCACAGAAATGGAAAGTCACGAAGAAAAGATCCAAGAGATAATAGCAAAGGTAAATTGTAAAATACGTATAGTTGTACCATACAATATTGTTGTTGCATGGATTTATTCGATCACTCGCTTCCATATTGTAGAACAAGGAACAGGAAGCTAAAGAAGAGCTCAAAAGGAGAGCGAAACAGTTGGAAATGCAAAAAAAAGAAATGCTCAAGAGAGGAGGGAATCCTTTTGGCTTTGGCCAAGCTATTAATCGACCATCTTCTTATGCCGAACCTCAAGTTCAACAAACTTTTGATGAGAACATACGTCCAACGTTTAGTAGGTGTGCTATCGAATATTGTCATCTTGTTCTATAAACGGTTTCGTATTTTTTTTTTAAAAAAAAAAACCTCTTATTTATTCCAATAACAAGTAGTTCCTCAGCCCCATCATCTTCTAAAACTAAGGGAATGCAATTGGGAAAGAAACAAAAGGGAGATGTTTTATTTGAAGCTGTTAAAAGCGAAGATGGTCTCGAGGAACCTATCGAAAAAGTCAACACCAGAGGAACTTCATCCATTCCCATGGAAAGGTGATGAGTCATCTTTTTTCGAGCCAAATTTATAATTATTCGTTTTAAATGTTTTTTTTAAATTTGATCTTAGTGTTCATATATCAATTACCGAAAAGATATCTCTCCAAGTTAACAGAGATGGCGGCTTAGAAAATTTGGAGGTGAAGGGTGACATGGAACTTACTATCTCGGATCCAAATATGACTCGAATTAAAATTTCGGTTCGCGCCGTAGACGATGGCACCTTGCAATTAAAGGTTTGTTTATATACATTAGGAATTCACTACAGTCTATTAGTCATTTTTCTTGGCACTGAATTCATATTGGAAAAAATAGACACATCCAAATGTCGATAAGAAATTGTTTTCTACCGACGGCATTATCGCTTTGAAAAATCCAGGCAGAGGATTCCCCGTGAATCAGCCTTTAGTAGTTCTTAGATGGAGATACATCACAAAAGACGAGACTGCAATTCCATTGTCAAGTATGTTATCGGTTTCAAATAGAGAAAGATTTACAAGATAATATATATAAATACATTTTTCTACTTAATACTTAGTAAATTGTTGGCCATCTCCTGCTGGTGATGGTACCATTGATGTTAACATTGAGTATGAGTTAGAAAGTGAAAACAAAGAATTTAAGGAAGTGGTTATTTCGATTCCATTACCGTGAGTACAACATTAAAAGTGGAGGTGGAATTATTCCAAAACTTTTCTAAATACAGCTTTTTTTTTATTTTAGATCTTCCGGAAACCCAGTTGTTAGCGATGTAGATGGTCATTATGAAATAAGCAGACAACCCAGGGCTTTGGAATGGCAGTTGCCTATTATCGACTCGTCTAACAAGCAAGGATCTCTCGAGTTCAATATCGCAGGGGATGATGTCAATGTTTTTTTCCCTGTTAGTGTATCATTTAAAAGCGAAAAATTGATCTGTGACATAGAAGTAAGTAAATTTTTTTCTTTATTCAGATTTGGAGCGTAATATTTATTTTCATCTTCGGCTTCAGGTGTTAGAGGTGACACACGCTGAGTCTGGAACCCCCGTGACCTTTTCTAAAGAAAAGATCTTAACAGCTGAAGAGTATCACGTCGTGTAATTTCACAAATAGACATCTTATCTCTGGTAATTTTGGAAATAAAATCATGATTGATTATTTTAGGTAAATTATTGGTCAATGAATTCCGGAGGACGTTATATATTTGTGGTGGATGAAATTATAGAGGTATTCTTAGAAACTCCAACGTTTAACGGTAAACGGTATTTATCATGATCATGTATTTACATTCTTTAATATTTAATCGGGAGTTGAATGCTCAAAAATAAAAATAAATAAAATAATAATAATCCTTTTCCATCGTCGAATCAATCTTCATTGTTACGATATTGTAAATAATTTGATAATTAGTGTATTTTTTTTTTGTTTTTAAAAAAAATTTAAAGTTTGTGTATAAGCTAAAAAAAAAAAAGTAATTTCCAAAAGATAAGAAACAAAACCAACAGCTAAATATTCTCGTTTGATTGATAGTCAAATATGCAAAATTTTGATCAAAAACAAAAAAGAATCTACATTTACATTGATTAAATGATGCTGCGCAAATAAATATATTTTCGATACTCGAAATAAAGGTCCCTAATTTTCTTACTCGGCTGCGACCGCTGCAGTCTGCTCAGAAGCGATGGAAACTTTTTTTAATTCAGTTTCATTTTTCTCGTCTGAATCTTTCGTGATTTCCAACTTGGGTATATCACTCATAGAATGGTGGTGTGATCTTGACAGCCTTTTTAATTTGTTAACGGCACCGATCTAGGAAATTTAAAGTTGGTGATTTCCAATTAGGAAGAATAACGATAATTTAAGTGATGCAATATAAATATCATACCACTGTAAAAACACCTCTAATACTGATAGGTTTAATGGCCGCGCTCAAATCGTCCTCGGTAATTTCTGTAATAAGTTCAGTGCAATTCTCCTCGGTGGATATTAATGGATTATTTCCTCGTTCAGTAACCCACGGATGTTCCTGGAAATGATTAAAAAGTCTTTATCCGAATATTGTCAGCAGATAACAGCAATAGAGAAAACATATATATGTATATATATTAACTCACACGCAAAACGGGCATAGTCGCTCTCTTCAAAGGATCCTTTTCGAGAATCGCATGTAGGAGATCGACCAGATCAGGATCTGTTTCTTTCAGAATTTTAATACTGAACACGTAAAGTCGTAAGATTTAGCTGATTTATAAACTTCGAATTAAAATGTTATAAATGCATTCAACCTACTCATCATTCTTTATTGACTCATACAAGTCAATAATATTATCTTCCTCGAAAGGCAGGCACCCAAAAACAAGACAATATAAGGTTACGCCCATCGACCAAATATCAGCAGCTTTACCAGAAATTTCGCCGTGATGTGCTTAAGGTCAGCAATATATATATATATAACGATATATACATTTAAAGTTAATGATAAATTCATTCAAGAATTCCAAACTTTAACTTTCAAAAAGCATTGTACCTATGCATAATTCCTGAAATGTTTCATAGAGAAAAAAGATGATAAATCATAATGTTCAAATATATAATTACCGAGCAATCGAAAATACAGATAGGAATGCAATTTACCGGAGCCATGAAAGCGGGACTGCCAGCTGATTTTTTTATCTTATCTTCACCTTTAAATATTTCAGAAACACCGAAATCTACGATTTTTAAAACATCGTCTTTCGATAGGAGAAGATTATCTGGCTTGATATCTTTATTCGAGATTTAGCGAGAGAGCATTAGCTGACGAATGCTAATTCGAAAATTTTCCGCGCATACACCTACCTCGGTGGACAATTTCATTTTCATGCACTAATAAGTAAATGATTGTATCGATCTAGTGAATGTCTATAAACAAAATGATAACTAAAGCAAGTAAGCTACAAAATTTTAACTTTACTTACAGTACTCAAAGCCAAGTATCATTTCTCTGAAATAACGTCGACATCTATCGTTGGGAAATGGTGTCGTCTTCTTGTTAATACTGACATCCATGAGAACACCATTTTCGCATATTTCAAAAACTTTACAAAATGGAGAATTGAGTCATTGACAAACATTACGTTTTTTGGAAACAATGATCGCATATACTATATCAATTGACAATTACCCATATATAGAGAATCGTTATCGGGGTCATCCAAGACCTCATACAATGCTACAACATTTTTGTGGTTTAGCTTCTTTAATACAGCTACCTCGCTACGAATCAAATACAAAGGATCAGTTGGAACATCATTTGGAACGGACGCAGCACGCCCGCGTGCATTCCAACCTCTACCACCTCTACCACGCGGTGGACGACGAAGGTAGTTTGCTTTATCCCTTTTACGAAGGCGAGATTTGCTAAATTCTTTAATCGCCTGTTGGTGGTTTATTTAATGTATAGCAATAAACGGTTGACATGAAAGTAATTAGATGCAACTCTTCAGAATAAATTCAAGGACATTGTTGTTCACGTAAATATTGTTGTGAATTTGCATTCCGTTTTTTCATGACCAATAAAGGTTAGAGTGTGATTCCTTACGTATTTAATGGATGTTACTTTATCAACTGCCATAATCACGGTTCCATATGCACCGTGACCAATCTCTTCCTTTAAAATGTAGTTGTTTAGGCAACGTTCCCCATCTTGCGTTTCAGTGACGGTAGCATCTAAGGTTTCTTTAACTTCGTGAGGAACCGACGGCTCGCGTCGATGAGTCACGGACATACGTTTCGTGTGTGATGACGTTTCCGGAGAAACGGAATGGGTGGTCATTTGAGGGACGCGCTACTTGAACTTCAGAGATATATCAATTTCTTATCCGACGCTATATGATAACATTTCATTGTTTCCCGGTGACATCGAAAAATCAGTGATTCTTAATGATTCATATTTGGATAAATGATAATTTATCACGTTTATCTTATTTGTCACTGTTCGCAAATTGATTGTCAATTAATCTCAAATATTATTCTTTAACATGAGCACAGTTCAGGAACTTGAATTACTCGTTAAGGACCTGGATATCACCACAACAGAAATTTATGTAGCCGATTTTCTCAATTCTCACTTCTGTGAATTGGAAGATTTGGAAAAATTAGATTCTATTCTGAACGATTTGAAAAAGAATGAGCAAATTTTAAACGAAAAAGTAAATTTCTCGCGACCAAAGAAAATTCAGTAAGAATTATGTGAATTAATAATGTGTTACGAAATTACTTGTACAGTGCGTCCAACTACAAAACGAGACCTTAAAGCCGCTTCAACAGTCATTAAAGTTGTTTGATTCTACAATCGTTAAACTTGAAGAACTTCAAGCTACGCGTTTGGAGCTGCAAGACACGTTAGCAGAACACTGCGACAAAGTCACTTCGAAGAATTTAACAAATTCACAGGGGAAATCAACGGATAATAACGTTACATTATTAGAACAACTAGTAAGTTTACAAAAGCAAGTCGACAGCTTAGAGAGGTCCAAGCAGTATCTCAAAATTTTGGTTGTTGCAGAAGAGCTAAGGTGAAGTTTAAAATGAATTTTTCTACTAGAGCTATTCGAGTTGTCTTATTTCCACGGTGATTATCCTAATTTTTCGACTTTAAAGTTCGCAAGCTAAACAAATGATCGAAAAATCACCACAAAAAGCCCTTGTAC